GGTTTCCAAGGCTGTAAGTCTTTATGGGAGCAGAAAGCCTCATCTTTCTCTCGCGGAGCGGCTGATAGTTTTGAACTGCTGACCTTAAGTTTCACAGCCTGATTCATAACCACTATGCTACCAGAGCTCCTGTGATATATATGTACATATATGGAGTCCTGGTATGGTGCTGAGGGTTAATGCAGTGGACTGGAAGGTCAGTTTGAACCTTAAAGATAGGTGGTTCAAGCTCACCAGTCGCTCCTCAGAAACCTTATACAGGATCGCTATGAATTGGAACTGACTCGATGATTCAACGGCCCTTTACAACAATGATATGTTATATGCACATGAGTCAGTTTTGACTCATAGAGACCTTATATGGGGTTTCTGAGGAGTGACTGGTGGGTTTGAACTTCTGACCTTGAAGCTCAAATTGACCTTGCAGTCCAGCACATTACCTTGCAATGTCACAACCGCAGGATTCCATATACACATATGCATACATACATGTATGTATGTCATGTCTACAAGTTGCAGGGCTGGCACAGGTGCCTAGGGTATCTGAGTCTAAAGCCCCACAGCTTGGGTGCAAAATCCCTAAGGAGGCTAGTTGTGGTTAAGTCGATTCTGACTCAGAGTGTAACCCTATAGGACAGAATAGGGAGTACTGGTGTGGTTCTATAGGATAAGCACTGGACTGCTAACCACAAGGTCTGTAGTTCAAACTCACTAGTCATGCCTTGGAAACCCTGTATGGGGTTGCTATGAGTTAGAACCAGCTCAACGGCAGTTAGCAACAAACACAGGACAGAGTAGAACTGCCCCACAGGGTTTCCAAGACTGCAGATCTTTACGGAAGCAAGCGGCCTTATCTTTTCCCTGCAGAGGAAACAGCAGCTTAGAACTCCCAGCCTTTCCATTACTAGCTGAGTGCTTGGCCACTGAGCCACCAGGGATGCTTCTCCATAAGAAACCCATTGCAATCGGGTTGATTCAACTCACAGTGACCTCGGGCACAGAGTAGAACTGCCCCATAGAATTTCCCAAACTCTCTCTATGGGAACAGACAGCACATCTTTCTCCTAGCTGGTAGGCTTGAACTGCTGACCTTGCCGTAAGCAGTGCTATGCATAACCCACTGTTCCACCAGGACTCCTTTCCTAGAGGAAAGGGGCATCACATTCCTAGGTGTGCACATCCAAGAAAATCTAAGAGCCACCTGGAGCCCCTCTCCCTGAAAAATGAGCTGGCCTAAACAAAGTGGCCCTTTCTCTTGAGGGGAAGACTGTAGGCTTCATTCAGTCTTTCATCCTGGGGCTCCCTAATCCTGGGGCGCTCAGTCTTTGAGGCGAGGAGCTGTGGGACAGGGGAGTCATTGTTCCTTAATGAGAGCCTGGGTCTCCTGTGAGAGGCCTCTGACTATGGAACTTTGACCTGTGCCAAGCCATAGCATTACCGTGCCCCTCCCCAGGGGGACAGCCCACCTGCCAGCCTACATGAAAGGCTATACTCCATGTGAGGAGGGGGTGGTGGAATCACATGACTAAGGGGCTTTTCTCAGAGTATAAAGGGCTCAGCCCCCATCTTGTTCTAAGCCAAGCTTCATTCATCCAACTGCCTTCAAGTGGGACCTTCACGGTAGGAACCCCCCTCTCCTTATGAAGACAAGGAATTACTGGCAGGGAGGGAAGGAGAAAAGAAGGGAGGAAAGGAATAAAGGAGGAATGGAGGGCAGCCAGAGGTAGCGATGAAGGCAGAGAGGGAGGAAGGAAAGGAGGGAGGGAGGAAGAGGGAAGGAGGAAAGTAAGTGAGAGAGAGATGAAGAATGCTTTCTCTGTGGTCTGAGCCAAGGATGCTACTGTTTAGAGATATAGAAAGCCTGAGGCCCTCAGCACCCCTGTAAATTCACTGCAAAGCCAAACAGACCCCCGTGGGAAGAGACTCCACACAAATGGAGGTCTTATGAATCCATGCATTACAATGATGCTCAGGGCAGCCAGCATGCAAATGCCAGTTACCACCCAGTCAGCTCGCTCCTTCCATATGTTACAGAGTAAACAGAGCTCCACAGGATTTTCAGAAGTAGATCACCACACCTTTCTTCTAAGGTGCCTCTGGATGGACTCAAACCTCCAAATTTTCAGCTAGCAGCTGAATTTGTTAACTGCACCACCCAGCTGTTTTGCATTTCCATATATGTATGTTGTTGTTGTTAAGTGCCATGGAGTCGGTTCCAACTCATAGCAACCCTGCACAGTGTTTCCGAGGTTTGTAAATCTCTATGGGAGCAGAAAGCCTCATCTTTCTTCTGCGGAACAGCTAGTAGTTTCGAATTGCTGACCTGGAGGTTACCAGCCTGATTCGTAACCACAATGCTACTATATATATATATATACAATACATAGAGGTTTATCTGCATTTCTACAGGTATGTCTCATATTGTGCTTCATAGATACTGCATTTAAAATTTTTTTTTTTTTTTTTTACGAGTTGAAGGTTTGAGGCAGCGCTGAGTTGGGCATGTCTGCTGGCACCATTTGTCCAACAGAAAGTCTCACTTCATGTCTCTGTACTATTCTCACAATATTTTAAATGTTTTCATTGTGAGACTGCACACTGAATAAACTGTTGTTGTTGTTAAGTGCTGTGGAGAAGGTTCCAACTCAGCGACGCTGTGTAGGGTTTACAAAGAGAGGCTGATGAGTTTGAACCACTGACTTTTTGGTTCAAATCGACCTTGTGGTCTAGTGCTTCATCCCACAGCACCACACCAGGACTCCTTAGTGGACACATAACTTTTATATGCATTGGGAAATTTAAAAGTCATCTGACTTGCTTTGTTGCAGTATTCACTATATTGCTGTGCTCTGGAGTTGAACCTGCAATGTCTCCAAGGTCTGCCTGTTATTGTTGTCGTAAAGAGCCATTGAGTCAGTTCTGACTCATAGCAACCCTGTATAGGTTTCCAAGGAGAAGTGGGTTTGAACTGTAGACCTTGCAGTTAGCAGCCCAATGCTGACCCTCCAGTGTCACACCGGAACTCCAAACACTGTTGTTTCCAAGTGCCGAAGTTCTCCCAGGCATCACCTCGGTTCCTCAGTTTGGCTCTGTAGCCAGAGGAACTCTGGTGGTGCAGTGGTTAAAGCATTCCGTTGTTAACTAACAAGGTCACTGGTGAGAACCCAGCAGCCACTCCTTGGGAAGAAGATGAAATCCATACAGATTGACAGTCTAGAAAACTCCAATGGAGTCACTGTAAATAAGAATCATAGTGACCCTGTGCAGTAGCATGAGTAGCCCTGTGCTTACCTCCTGACACATACCCTCAGTTCTGATTCCCACTCTGCCCTGAAAGCAGGTCTAACGCAGTTTGTGCATTAAGTCAACCAACCATCTTACATTCATTAGGGATTTCTGTTCCCATGGAGCAAAAAGTATTTAAATTTCCCTGTATTAAGTACCATTGAGTCGATTTGGACTCTTAGCAACCCCATATGAAACAGTAGAAATGCCCCAAAAGATTTTCTAAAATATCATCTTTATGGGAGCAGACTGCCAGCTCTTTTGTCCTTGGAGATGCTGGGTGGGTTTGAACTGCCAGCCTTTCATTTGGCAGTCGAGTACTTATCCATTGTTTCACAAGGATCCTTTACCAGTCTTGGTAGTCTAATTTTTTGCTCTCCTCTATTCCTGGGAAACCCTATACAGGGTCGCTCTGAGTTGGAACTGACTCCATGGCACTCAACAACGCTAATACATGATTGCCTGGCTGGAGTTCAGCAAGTGCCTGTTGAAGTTAAGTATTTGCTGATGGACCACAGAACAGATGGAAATGTGGTAGACACCCTGGGCTCTTCCCACCTTTCTTTCCCATCCACATCTCTGCCCTTGAGGCTGATCTGTTTAACCCCATGGATTGTAGCAAAGTATTCAAATTGCCCAACTGCCAAGGCAGAGGAGCTGCAGCAGTAAAGGCATTGCTGGCTAGGAGGTGGTACCATATGCATTGCCAAGTCTGGCGATGTCTGGACAAAGGTTCAAAGGCAGTCTACTACAGGTGCATTTGTTAAGTGCCATCGAGTTGGTTCCAACTCAGAGTGACCCTGTATAGGGTTTCTGAGGAGTGGTTGGTGAATTTGAATCACTGACCTTGGAGTTCAAACCGATCTTGTGGTCAAGTGTTTATCCTATGGTGCCACACCAGGACTCCATCACAATGTATGGGCCACTTACAATCCAACTTGGTGGTGGTTATGTGCTGTGGAGTCAGAACCATCCCATAGCGACCCTATACAGGGTTTCTGAGGCTATAAATCTTTATGGGAGCAGAAAGCCTCATCTTTCTCCCACGGAACAGCTGGCAGTTTTGAACTGCTGACCTTAAGGTTTGCAGCCCAATTTGTAACCACTACGCTACCAGAGCTCCTTAATTACCAAAGACAAAATTGCAACACCTGCCATCCCATCTTCCTTCCCCATTAATCTGTGAACAACTCACCATCAAAGAACAGGTTTTACTTCCCTTAATCCCTGGACCCCTCAGTCTGCTGGGCACCCAACAGGCCTGCCTTGAAAGACCATGGATAGAAAGAATAAATACGTGAGACCAGAGTTATGTCTCCAGTGACACACTGCTTAGTACCCATTTTACAGATGGATAAACTGATCATGTAATATCACATAGCTGCTAGGTTGGAAGTTTGAGTCCACTCAGAGGTATCTTGGAAGACAGGTCTAGTGGTCTACTTTAGAAAAATCGCCACTGAAAACTCTACGAAGTGCAGGTCTACTTTGACACACGTGAAGTTGCCATGCATTGGAATAGCAACTGATTGGTGGTCAGTTGGTGATCAGTCGCAAAACTAGGACAGGACCTGTTCAGCTGCCTTCCTTCTACCACGTTGTCATGTGGGCCAAAGGCTCCTACTGCAGGTCATTGCTTCACAGCAGTAGTGAAAGAATCTCCTTGATGTCCACCAACTTCTCTTCCAGTGGACACCATCCTTGGCTGTCCAGCTATGATCACGCTTCTCCTGCTGAGTGTGTTGGTGGTCCCCATTCCCCATGCTGGTAAGTGAGGGTATTTTACAGAGCAATTGCAGCTAAGCATATGACTACCTAGTCGGTGGTGTTAAGCGCTGTTGAGTCACTTCTGATTCCTAGTGACCCTGTATAGGGTTTCAAGGAGCAGCTGAGAGTTTGAACCACCGACCTTGCAGTTCAGCTGACATTTCGGTCCAGGGATCACTCTACAGCGCCACAATAGCCCCTCTAAAATGAACACTGGGACATATTGTCAAATGTTTTCTAATCTGCTTAGTTTTTCTTTCTTTGACCCCCTCCCAACTCCCACCTAATAATGATGGAAATGGAACTTGAATGATAAACGGTAGGTTTAATTCAATTAATATTGTAGTGCACAATGTGTAGTACCTGTGGTCCTGGTGTGGTGCTGTAGGATAAGCACTGAACTGCTAACTACAAGGTTGGTGGTTCAAACCCACCTGCTACTCCTCAGAAACCCTATACAGGGTTGCCATGAGTAGGAACTGCTTCAACAGTACTTGACAACAATAACATGCTTGCTGTTGTAATCCCACTTGGGGATGGTTTTCGAGTTCTGATGTGACACTGTAGGATAAGCACTGGACTGCTAACCACAAGGTTGGTGGTTCAAAGCCACCAGCTGATCCCTGGAAACCCTATACAGCATCCCTGTGAGTCAGAACTGACTTGACGACTCTTAGTAATAACAACACCATAAATGTGGGGTGGGAGACTAGGTCCATGCTAAGAGCAAGGTAGCCAGGTAGTAAGCTTTCCACACAACATCACATCTCCTCTCTCCTTTGGTCATGGGCATGTTGGCCTTCTTGAGAGCTGGCCACATGCCTCCCCCTTTTGTAAATATGCCTGGTGGGAAGGGCACATGTTCCATCTACCTTTTACAGTTGAGTCCCACATCTTCAAGACACACAGATACTTCAGCAGGCTTCTAGGAAGACCAAGGTAGAAATGTCAAGTTCCCTTGGAGTCTTAGCTAGGAATCTGAGACTTCTGACACTTACCTATTCATACTATTGATTTATCCTGGTATTTTCTCCTTCTGTTCTCATGGTGGGTTCAGATAAAGTCTGGAGGAACCCACTTTACCTTTTCCTCTCTAAAGTCCCCTCCCAAACAGCAATGGTGTCAAGAGGTGCAAAATGAGCGTCACAGTATTCTATTCATTGTTTATCCTGATCATGACCCAAGTTGGTGTGTAATACAACAGGATTTTATTTTACCTGGAAGTTTGCAAGTTGGAAATTAGAGTGGTGGTGGTGTACCGTGGAGTTGGTTCCAACTCATAGCGACCCTGTAGAGGGTTTCCGAGTCTGTACATCTTTATGAGAGCAGACAGCCTCATCTTTCTCCCATGGAACCGCTGATAGTTTTGAATGCTGACCTTAAGGCTAGCAGCCCGACTTGTAGCCATGACAGTACCAGAGCTCCTTGGAAATTTTAGTATAACACTATTATTTAAGAGTCAAATCATTTTCAAACATCATCCCACATTTTTCTCTAAGGTAGAGTTGATCAACAAGTGGTTGCTGGGTTTCAATGGATTATTTACTTCTTTATATAACTTTTTCTTCTTATTAAAACATAATTGTCATGAACTGAGACTTGGATATAAGCAGTTTAATCTTTTTCCACAACTTTAACCACAGGTGCCTTTTACCATAGGCACTGCACTGGGATGAACTCCACCAACCCCCAAGGGCTCACAAAGTAAAGACTGCTTGGCAAGAACTAGTTTTATGTGTCTAGAAATGACAAAACAAGTTTTCACTGGCATAAAGTTTCAGATTGGGAGTCAACTGTCAACTCCTTTGACTCAGGATGGGTAGGCAAGGTTTAGATCAAGGATAACCTTATAAATCAGAGGTCTCTACAAATCAGTTGTGCTTGACTACTAGAAAAGATTGAAGTTGTCAAGGACTTCATTCTTCTTGGATCAATTATCAACACTCATGGAAGCAGCCATCAAGAAATCAAATGACGTATTGCATTAGGCAAATCTGCTGCACAAGACCTTTTTTAAGTGTTGAAGAGCAAAGATGTCAGCTTGAGGACTAAGGTGCGCCTGACCCAAGCCATGATATTTTCAATAATCTCATATGCATGTGAAAGCTGAACAGTGAATTAAGAAGACCATAGAAGAATTGATGCTTTTGAGTTATGGTGTTGGAGGAGAATATTGAAAGTGCCATGGGCTGTCAAAAGAACCAACAGATCTGTGTTGGAAGAAGTGCAGCCAGAGTGCTCCTTGGAGGCCAAGATGGCCAAACTTCATCTCTCATATTTGGGACATATTGTCAGGAGGGACCAGTCGCTGGAGAAGAATATCATGTTTGGTAAGGTGGAGGGTCAGAGAAAAAGAGGAAGACCCCCAACAAGATGGATTGGCCAACTGGCAGTGCCAATATGATCAAATGTGGCAATAATTGTGAGGTTGGCCCAGCATCGGACAGTGCTTCGTTCTGTTGTGCATAGGGCCACTATGAGTCAGTACTGACTCGATGGCACCTAACAACAACAACAACAACTAGACTAAAGGTTGGTAGTTTGAGCCCACCAATTGTTCAGGGAAAGAAATATGTGACAGTCTGCTTCCATAAAGACTACAGCCTTGGAAACCCTAAAGGGCATTTCACTGTGTCGAGTAGAGTATGAGTTGGACTCAACTTGAAAGCTGTGAGTTTTGTTGTTGTTTTTGTTTTGTTCTTTGGCCTTTATCAGGTAACTCATTCAATTTAAAATCTGGGGTGACCTTTCTAGTCACTAATGAAAATATGTAGGCATTGATATCCTGGAAGTAGGAGGAGAAGGATATTGTGTTAAATCTGTGAGTAAGCTTCAAAAAGGTTCCTGGAAAAATTCTGTAATAGTTAGAGTTTTGTGCCAACTTGGCAAGGCCAGGATTTCCAGAGGTTTAGCAGTTGAGATGTGCTTACTCCTAAGGTGACAAAATGTAATACAGAAATAGTTAACTCTATGATGTTTGGCTATGAGCAGCCAATCTATTTAAGGAATGCTTCCTTGGGAGTGTGGCCTGCTCCCAATATAATGGACACACAGAAAAGACTCTCTCTCTTCTGCTGGGGACCTGAGACTCTATAATTTGTAAGTCATTTTTTTGATAATAAATTTACATATATGTATGTATGTATATAATAATAAACTTACTAGTTTTTTATATATATGTAACTATATGTATGTATGTGTGTGTGTCTGTGTCTGTGTCTGTGTGTGTACATATATATATTCATATATATGTTTCACTGGTTTTGTTTCTCTTGAAAACCTGGACTAAGATAATTCCATTATGTTTTCGTTCCTTTTTCCCATGGACCTTTGAAAGCCCCATCATGTGGTGGTGGGTAGTCAGGTAGTCCAGAAGAGGAGTTTAATGACCAGGACCACAAAGGAAATTCAAGTAAAGACACCAAGGAGCCGGCAAGATTTTGCAAATTGTGTTTAAATGGGCAGCAGGCATTCTTAGCCATGGGTTATGAAAGCAGTTCAACAGCTTTCAAGGCAATCGTGCCAAATGTACTACCTGGGCTCTTTGACAAGGATAAATAGGAGTCTCCCTCCTTGCTGTTTCAGCATTTTGCAAGGCTCTGAACAAAAATTAAAAAGTGAAGTCATGGAGGGCCTCGTTTGTACAAGGTCCGGGCTGAACAAGAATTGCCTTCTCCCTGTGACGGGCTTTCTCTTGTCCTGTGTGTCCCCACCACTCCCTACTTCAAACAAACATGCAATCATTCTAAATATATACAGTATGGTTCAAATGCAAAGACAGCTTCAGGTTAAATGATGACGCACAGAGGAGATGGTAATCATTGCAATGAAACAATTATTGTACAATTGATGTTCCCCAATGTAAACTGTCACTCAATTCACAATAAAAACTTTAAAAAAAAAAACAAAAAAACCAGCTTCAGGACAAGCTCTTCATCCCCAACCAAAACGCCAATCTTGAGACCCACCAGTTTACAATTCATCTTCTTTAAGAGAAGATTGGCACATAACACATTCTAGAATCAATGCATATGAATATGAGATTGCATTTAAATGCATTCCCACTGCCTTCCTGGCTGCTGCCTCCCAGCCTGGACTTAATGCATGGGAGGCATCAATCTTAGCACTAACCCTGCTCTTCTTCATCTCTTCCTCACCTACAGGGGGCCATGCTCTGGACACCTCCCACCTGCCCCGAGAGCTGCCTCCAGGACTCCCAGCAGATATCAGTAAGGATGCTTGGAACTTTGCTTAGATAACCTAGCTGAGCAGAAAGTTTTCTGGGATACTGGCAGAGAAATGACTTCTTTTGAATGTACACAAGAGCCACTTGCTGTGGCAGTATTAGTAAGCAAAGACATTCAAGTGGGACTCAAAGGGTTCTCCCCTGAGATTCCACATTGGTCACTCCTTTGAGACAAAGTGTTAAAAGCTACCATCAAAACACAAAGATTTGCCAAAGGAAGAAGCCAGGAGAAGGAAGTAAATGTGTTGCTCATGAACATGAATTGGGTCACTGTATTTTAGCATCAAGAGCTCTAAGTTTCCAAGAAGGCAGGACAAAAAGGGATAGAGGTGAATTGCAAAGCTCTGGTTTAAGGAAGAAGAATCTTAGGAAAGTTGTCCTGGTTCCGGAGTATAAAGATTTAGGTAGGTCTTAAGTGGGCATCAGTAAAGAATATAACGGGTGGTAGACTCACTGGTGATGTCACCCTGAGTCAGGGGGTGGTTCGTACACCCTTCAGAAAGGTGAGCTGAGTCAACCAAATGATTTATCCATGAACCTATGCAAGCTAAGTGATCAGCTTCCACCCAGACCCCAGGGACAGGTAGCCTCTCTCCAAATGGCATAAACCCTATGGGGAGTACAATGGCTAGTGGAGGGTCTTCTTCAATTAGACATTTCAACTCACAGGTCACACTTGGCACTTAGAAGGTTGTTGTTGTTGCTGTTAGGTGCGATTGAATCAGTTCGGACTCATAGTGACCCTCTGTACAACAAAACGAAATTCTGTCTGGTCCTGTGTCATTCTCGCAACCATTGCTGTGTTTGAACCAATTCTTACAGTCACGGTGTCAATCCATCTCCTTGAGGAACTTTCTTGTTTTCACTGACCCTCAACCTAGTATGAGGCCCTTCTTCAAGGGCTAGTCCCTCTTGAGAACAGGTCCAAAGTATGTGAGTTGAAGTCTTGCCATCCTTACTTGTAAAGAACATTCTGGCTGTACTTCCAAGAAAAAATGTATTCCTGGCTTCTCATGATTTATTCAATATCCTCACCAACCCCATCATTCAAAGGCATCCATTGCTCATCAGTCTTCCTTACTCATTGTCCAGCTTTCACATGACTATGAAATGGTTAAACTGACCATGACTTGCTTCAGGCACACCTTAGTTTTCAAAGTAACCTCTCTGTTCTTTAGGTTCCAAAAGGTAGAAGAATGAAGGTCAGGAAATGTGCCCACAAGGCATTGTAAGCCTAGAGCCTTCCATGTCCATGGATATCAGTACCTGTCTGTGGGTGAATGCGCTGGACTGCAAAGTACATTTGAACTGCAAGGTCAGCAGTTCAAGCTCACCAGCTGTTCCTTGGAAACCCTATACAGGGTTGCTATGGGTCAGAACCAACTCGGGCACTTAACAACAACAACAATGTTAGGATGCTCAAAGAGCCACAAGTCGATGGCACTTCACAACAACAGCAAAGAGACGTGGCCAGTTACCAGAGACATCACATTCAGAAAGGACCAAAAGGATGACTCCCACCTGAGAGTCTGTGTATAATTCATCCACATTTCCTCTCAGTCCAGATACACCTTACCAACCAGGGTTCATTCTTACTGTGGTGCAATGTTGCCTAGTAACAGTTTATACTTCCTCACACTCAGCAGGTCTCCAGGCTAACATAGCTAAAAAGTGAACCCAAGGTCAAATTTTCCCTTTAATGGGAAGGGGTTGTACTTATTTATACTTTACCTAAGGGGAGGGGAGGGAGACCAGGAAAGGAAACAAGGCACTAATTTATTCTCTCTCTTTCTCTCTTTTCTACTTAGACATCACATTCTTCAATGGGGTGTTTAAAAATGTGGAAAATGTAGCCGAAATTTTTGGTAAGTTAAATCTGAAATGGCTTTTATCCACCAAACACCTGGCACATAGTTGTTGTGGGTAAGTGTAATTGAGTCAGTTCCAACTCATAGGGACCCCTGTATAGGGTTTCCATGGAGTGGCTAGTGAGTTTGAACCACCAACCTTATGGTTCAAACTCACCTTGTAAATGTCTCTGCCTCTTCTCTTCCTACATAAGTTGATAGTTCCCTCAACTGTAGATTCTCCAAACTGGGTCACTTAGGATGCATTCAGCCAATGAATGGTGCCTTAAATACTATCACAATTATTTCACCAAAGCAGCAGTCTGAAGACACCTGGATGAGAGCAGAGGTTTAGCGCCAGCCGCTCCGCGGGAGAAAGATGAGGCTTTCTACTCTCGTAAAGATTTACACCCTCGGAAACCCTGTACAGGGTCGCTATGGGTCGGACCCGACTCGATGGCACTTAACAACAACAACAACATTAGACCCAGCAGGCTTGGGATGATTTTCCTCACTGCTTCCCGGAGCATGCTGGATTTTCTAGCTTTGGTCTTCGGGCCTCATGGTGGCAACATGGCTAGTGCCATTCCAGCAAGCACATCCTCATCCACATTCAAGAAAGAAGAACATGCAGATAAAAAGAGATCTTCTTCTGATATGCCTCTCTTCTATTTCAGGAAAGAAATCTCTCCCAGAAGCCCCTAAAACACTTCCCTTAAGTTTTGTAAGCCAGGTCTGAATCACATTCCCAAGCCTAGACCAGAGTCAATGGCATGGAAGCATGGAGCTCCCATGACAAGCTGAGTTAGCATAGAACATCCCCAGGGGCATGGGGAGAAGACTCGGTTTCCCTACGTACTTCTCCGTTTTGCTAATCAAGGAGAGAAGATGGCATGAGTTAGGTGACAACCAACAGAGACCATGGCTATAAACCTGCTTCCTTCAATTGTTCATAATGGTCCTGAGTATACAGTAGGTGCTTAAGAGATGGCATGGGCGGCAGTGAGAATATTGGGAAGAAGCCTTAGACAGAGCTCAACTCAATTAAAGGCTCTATCATGTACCAACTATGGGAACCTGGGCAGGTTCTATCATCTGTCTGCACCTCGGGATTCCATCCTTGGTGTCCTGGCTCCAGAGATATGCCTGTAGCTTCTATGCAATATTAATAATGGAGACAAGCATTGGTCTGTGTCTTAGTCTATCTGGTACTGCTATAACAGAATAACACAACTGAATGACTTTAACAAACAGACATTTATACTTTCAAAGAAGTATGAATTCAGGGTATGAACTCTAGGGGAAAGCTTTCTCTGTTGACTCTGGGGGAAGATACTTGTCTCCTTTTGACATCTGTGAGTCCAGTGTTGCTTGGAGCTCTCCTGGTGTCTGGGTATCAGTCTTCTCCTGGGTCTACGAGGTTCTGAGCACAGGTCCGTAGGAGATGCTCCACTCCCAGCCCTTTGTCTTGGAGGCAGTAGTCCCTCTCATCTCTGCTCACTTGTTTAATATCTTTTACATCTCAAAAAATATAAAGGATACAACCTAATCCTGTAGATTGTATCCTGTCTCTAATTCTGCCCCATTGATATTAGAGGTTAGGATTTACAACACATAAAGTAATGACATCAGATTGCAAAATAGGGAATGAGTATACCAACTGGGACTCATGACCCAGCTATGCTGACACGTATTTTGGGGGTGACACAATTCAATTCATAACAGAGGTTAATGGGAATACCATGCCAGGAATTATGCGGGAGCCTCCAACCTGCAGTACAGGAAGTCCAGAACCGGGGCTCCCTCCTAGTCTCTGGTCACCCACCAGCCTCTGCTTTCCCCTCCCACAGACTGCCTGGGCCCCCACTTCTCCTGGCTACAGGCTGTCTTCACCAACTTTCCTGTTCTGCTCCAATTTGTGAATGGTATGAAATGTGTGGCAGGCTTCTGCCCCCGGAACTTGGAAGACTATGGCTGTGCCTGCAGGTTTGAGATGGAAGGACCACCTGTGGACGCGACCGACAGGTGAGAAAAATCAATAGGTGAGGGAGTTCATGGGAGGCCTGGTTGATGCCTTGGGCAGGGTGCAGAGGTGGAAAACGCCCTGGGGAGATGTCTGTGTTCTAGTACTTACCATTGGGTGACTGGTTTCTCCATCTTCACATGGCAGCCTGACCTGTGATCTGCTCACTCCATAGGGAGTTAGGATCCAATGTCAGGTCCGAGGAGACAAGCTCCACTTTAGAGGTTCTCAGAGTTGAGATCCGCCAGCATCAGTACTACCTGGATGCTTGTTAAAATGCAGCTTCCTGAGACCCCTCCCTGGTCCCTTGGTTCAGAATATTTTTAAGGAGAATATGGAAGTCTGGATTGAAATAAGAACTCAAATAACAAAACTTGAGAACAATTTGTTTATTCAGAGCTGTCCTGAATAAAATAGTCGCCAGAAGGAAAGACTAGGAAAGTTTTTGCTCAATCTCCAACAAACCTGCACCAAATACCAACAATGTCCATGGACATTGTCCACATTAACCAAAGTACCATCATTGCTTCAAGGAGGTGGAGGTCTGATGGGAGTGGGGAGAAACCCAGAGAAAATCCAATGGCCAGTAGGGTTGTGTACCTCCCAAATACCTGGGAGACGCAGACTGACATCAGAGGTCATCGCAGTAAAACTGAAGAGCCACCCTTTCCTCCAGTGTTAGCAAGGATCCAACAACTAGGGGCAGGCAGAAGTGCCACCAGGCCACCCACCATTTAGGGAAGGGTGGTGTATCTACTAAAAGCATGCTTCCTCTGATCCAGCCATTCTAATTCTCTACTTTCTATTTGCTCAGTGACTTTGCTGGTGGTTGTGTGCTGTGGAGTCGGTTATGACTCATAACCACCCTGTATAGGGTTTCTGAAGTGTAAATCTTCATGGGAGCAGAAAGCCTCATCTTTCTCCCAGAATGGCTGGTAGTTTTGAACTTTTGACCTTGAGGTTAGCAGCCTGACTCGTGACCACTACACTACCAGAGTTCCTTCTGTGTGTATGGCCTTAGGGAGCATATTTGATTCTTTTGTTCCCATGCCAGCATCTATCAAATGGAGTTAGTAATAGTATCTAACTCACAGAGTTGTTGGTGGTAGATGTGTGCTGTAGAGTTGGTTCTGACTCAGAGCGACCCAGTATAGGGTTTCAGAAACTGTAAATCTTTACAAGAGCAAAAAGTCTCATCTTTCTCTCACTAACAGACCGGTAGATTCGAACTGCTGACCTTGTGGTTAACAGCCCGACTAGTAATTCATTACTCTATCAGGGTTTCTACCTCACAGAATTGTTACATAGGATTAAATGAACACAGTTAAGTTAAAATGATTGGGACTTTATCTGGTTTATTAAATTTTCAAGAGTATTAGGAATTGGCAGGAATAGCAGTAGAAGTAATAGTAGGAACAGTAGGGACATTTATAGTAGTAAGAGTCATCATAATGATAGCAGCAGTATCAGTAGGAACCACGCAGGGACGGAACAGTATTAGCAACAATACCAGTACCAGTACTAAGGGCAGCAGTGGGTCTGTAGTCATAGTTACAGTAGGAGCAGTAGTAAC